TCTTTTAAGCACCATGGAAAATGTCCTCTCAGTGACCAGTAGACCTGAGGTAGAGGCCTATTACCCTGGAAAATGGAGTTCTCAGAGGCTTCCTACAGCTCCCAAGAAAACCACTCAGGTATCATGTCTAGACATGTGATCCTTACCTGGTGTTCTCAGCAAAAACTGGGTGAACCATATACACAAAAGTTGAGAAATGTAAGAGGAGCTCTGGGTTTAGTGCATAGTACGTGTTCATAAACAACCTAGTTATACGGAATGCAGTCCCTGTACTTATTCCACCACTCTGTCTATTAGGAGCCACGGTGTCCACTCCACCCCTGGAGCTGCTGTCTGTTATCACACGTGTGGTGGCTGCGTGTGTTTTTTTTTCCTGGGTGCTCCTGGGCCCCAGACTGGGCCTGTGGGATTCCCTATGCACAACATCATCCTGTGCTGTGGTTTGCAGGATTATGCGCTTAGTCTTCAGTTTTCCATGATGGTGACAATAGCCTATCCCTCCTTCTCATCAGCCAGCTCCACCCAGGTAGGCAAATCCTCTTGAGGCAACTTTCCATGGGCTCAGGCTCCAGGGCTTCCCTCCTTCTCTAGGCTGAGAACAATGTGGGAAATAAAGTTAACCTCTGGGCTTAGAGGAGACATTCTGCATTCCAGGACATCAGGGGAATCTTTAGGGGGAAGTCCTGCGCCTGAATGGAGTCTCCTAGCAGCGAGTGGAGGCCAAACTCCACAGTCCACTGGGGAGGAGGCCAGCTGTTCTGCTAGCTACTCAGCAGCTGTTTGCTTTTGTTTCTCCCACATAGTTGCCCGAACTATCATCCTTTGTTCTAATCTTGTGAAGGCAAGGCCTTCCCCATCCAGCTCTAGGAACCCAGAGCTCCCCCAAGTGCTATCAGGATACCTGACCAGGGTTACCAGGACAGTTCACCCAAGAAGCAAGCTCTCTAATCTCCCAGGGGATCCCACTGCTTAGTTAGGATCACTAAAGCAGAAGGTAGAGGAGGATTTAGAGGGTTGGACCTCATGGAGGAGAGAAACACAGGCCAGGGTGATAGGCTGAATGTATCTAGAGAACACTGGATGTCCCCAGTATCTAGACTAACGGAGAGGAGAGGAGAGGGGAGAGAGAGACAGAGACAGAGACAGAGAGACAGAGAGAGAGAGACAGAGAGACAGAGAGAGACAGAGAGAGAATGAGCAGTGAGCCAAGTACTAATGTGCCCTTTAATTGTGGTTTGGGCCAGCAGGAAGTGAAATTGGAAATGGCTCTGCTGGTAAAGGGTTTAAGAGTTTCCCTTCCAACTCTTCTCCCACTGTTTCAGAAGCCCTCTTCAGCTCTCATGGGGCCTCCTGTCTCACTCTTTATCAGGCCACTGGAACTTGTTTCCAGAGCATTCTCAGGCAGGTGATGATGAAGATATTTTTAATTAGAAAATGTCTTATATTTTTATTGTATTTATTTATTTATTTTTGTGTTTTAGAGAAGGGTCTACAGGGTGTTCAGGGTTTCATTACTAGATTGGACTCATAGTCATTCTCCTGTTTACAGCCTCCCAAGAGCTGGGATCACAGGCATGCACCACCACCCCCAGTTTCAATTGCCCTCTCAGGGTACCCTGGGGGTGGGGCCGGCATGACAAGCCTGGGGATCAAACCCCCAGTCCCTGAGCCAGCTTGCAGGTGCTTTAATCTGCTGAGCTATTTGGCTGGCTCAGAAAATGTCTTATAAATCTTCCAGTTGAGAAATACATCAGAAAATTAAGAGTAATGTTTTCTACTGCTAATGCTGTCCTATATATATGTCAAGCCTGGGACTGGATAAAATGTACAAGTTAAACCATCCACTGATGGGAAATGATTGAATATGAGGTCCCTGATACAATTAAATGATAACTTTATCTAGGGACGATTCCATGCCACCCTTGAAAAGATATGAAATCAGGACCGAGGGAGGAGCTGAGGGGATTATCTGCGCTGGTCTCTGTGCCCACAGACTGGACAGTGGCCTGAGACCTAGAGGAGAAAGAGCAAAGGGAGCCGGGCTGCAGAGGAGAGAGAGCACAGTCTGCTGGCTTCCGGCCAAAGACTCATCTTCTCTCTGATCATGTTTTCTCCCAGGGGCTTGGATAAGGCGGCGCCTGCTTTGGAGGGGCCCTCTGCTCTGCTGGTGCTCTGAGCACCTGCTAACTTGCGTGCACATCTTCTGCTCCTGCTGCGGCTCTGCATGGCTCTGGGAGCAAGGCAAGCCTCTTCTCAAGGCTGGCTGGACTCCTATCATGTGGCTGGGGCTTGCAACACGGACTTCCTTTCTCTCACTGCCTCTAGCCACCCTTCTATGCACATATATGTGTACTATATTGTCCTTGAAGCTTCCCCTGGACCCTTACACCACATGAAACTTCTTCATGCTCCTGCAGAATAATATTAGCTCACTTTCATGGAGAGCTTATGTGCTAGAGACTGTGCTAAGATCTTCACATAAATCACCTCGTTTCCATCTCAAAACAACACTGCGAGGCAGTTCCTATTCTCACCCATTTACACTTATAAAAATAAGTATGACAAAGTCAGAGACACATAAAAGCCTGGCCTATCCCAAGGTTCTTGCTCTTAGCAAGGAATTGACAAGAGTTTGCTTTAAAACATTAAAAAAAAAAAAAGCAAGTACTTTACACATTGCAAGTGAGAAATCTTTGCTATAAAATTCTGGACTCTGCCATTGCGGTGTAAAAGCAGCCACACACATGGGATGTTGATATGCGTGTGTGACTGTCACCAGGCAGGCCAAGGACGTTTCCTTCAAAGAGGAGACAGAGATCCCCAGCTCTCCCCACATACAGAGTAGCGCTGCGAAGTTATGACACAGAAAGCATTTAAGGATGTCAGTGAGAGACACAGAGAGAGATTTATTAGGCAGAGTGAAAGAAGTACACAGAAAAAATCATGTGGCCACTCAAGAGGGAGGGACAGCATGGCTTGGGGCTGGGAACATTCCTGTGTTTTGGCAGAGGATGTCCTCAAGAAGAGCTACCCAGGATGTTTATTCCTGGTGTCCCTCGGGTCACCTGCTCATAGGCTGTGAATGCAAGCTACCTGCATTTGTTTGAAGTTTAGACATATGGTACTATTAACAGTGCTGCTTCTTGAATATGAAAATTTGGAATGTGTGAATCTATAGCCTGGGGGAAGTGGCAGGATCAATTAACCAGTTGACAAGCAAGGGCCAAATTGACAGGATCATTGTATCCTTAAAATGTATGGGAGTTTAGGAGTGCTTCCTGGAGGGGGGGGGGGAGACATCCTAACCATAAGTAAATGTGATTGCGTTCTGAAGTTGAAGTTCTCTTAAAAATGCAGTTTTTAACTTATGGTTATCTTTGTCTTTTCCCCGGTCTATCTTTCCGTATTCTGCCCTTGTTAAGCCACTGAGCAAATGCACATGGCTCCCACCTAACTTGCTCACCCTTGGCACCCCACCCAGTATCATCCATGCCCCGCCTAATGCCCCTCTCTCAGGAGAGCACAGTGGCTCAGCGCACCGGACCATGAGAAGGAGTGCTCTGTTCCCAGACCTGGGTGGCAGCACATTCCTCGTAAGCTGTTGTGCAACCAGGGTGGAGGTAGGGCTGCCTCTGCTATTGTCTGCAGAAAGCATCTACTTCCTGCCAGACGCTGAGTTAGCACCACATTTGGGCAAAGAGCTCTGCCGGCCTGTAAGCTGGGGCCCCCCAAATGTTGGCGATAAGAGGCTGGGTGTCAAACATGAAGCAGGTGCTCTCTGGAGGCGCACCTCAGTGCATGTTGGTCGTGCTCCCCATGCTAGTTCACTTTGGCACCTGCTCTCAAAGCACAATCCGCCTGGTATTGTTTTCCCGTCACCACATCCACAGTACTTAATGTATGGGCTTGAGAAAATAAAACTCATCCCCTAAACCAAGCCCAGTGCTCATGGGACAACGTTTCATCCCACTGAGGAGGAGTCTAGGGATTTGTGCTTTCAAGCACTGAGATTATAAATACAAATTTGAAGTTCGCTTGTGAGATCATCGCACTTGCAAGGGCACATTTCAGTGATTCATTACTTCTGTATGCCCCCCAAGTTCTGGACACGCCCTGTGAATTGTGTGATCCTTGATTCCTAAACTGTATCAAATGCTGTAGAAAGAAAACTTCTGTGAAATTTTCAAGGACCTCTGTGCTTCTCATCTTGAACATTCTAAGTGAGCAGTCGAATACAGCACAGGGAGGTGTGTGCGCATATTTGAACTAGACAGACAGCTTTCCAGGAAAATTGGAAATAGAAATTTCTATCCAGGAGATAGAAAATGGTGCGGAGGTCCAGTGATGTCTGTTGTGACCTTCTCCAGAAAGCAGCCAATGGCCAGCTATCACATGTAGTAATGTTATTCTTATAGCAAAAAATCTCAACTCTATCCCTCTAGGCACACGCAGGAGGGTATGTCTCCTAAATAAGCCCCTTCTCATGCCTAGACCAGTAGGAAGGGTAGCCAGGAGCTTTAAAACTGGATCAAACATAGCAAGAAAACCACGGCAGGCCATGTACTGCTCAGGCCACTGAGCAAACGCCTTGAACTCTGAGGGAGTGTTCCCCAAATGTATGGAAAAGAGGTGCGGGTAGAAATGAAAATCTGTGTGGGAAGGGGGCACCCAGGGAGTGTCTGAACAGGCAGAAGGAAGAGACAGCTGTCACAGATCAGTTCCTTGTATCCTTTGTTTGAGAAGATGACTAACTCATGACTTCAGTGAATTTACTTCTCAGCTTATTGCGTTGGAATCAAGTCAAGGCTGGAAGGCAAGAGAATTTCTCCATGACTAAAGGAAGCCAAAAAGCAATCTTCATGTTTCATACCTTTCTAGAACTTGGGGGTGATCTCATTATTTGTAAAGCCATGCCCTTCCCAAACTGCAAGCTCACCTTCCAGAACCAGCCCAGCCCATCAGCACCGCATATAAACTGTTGCCTGAGCCCATCTCTTTCACTTGCTCTTCTCTTCTCGCTTTGCCTCCAACCTGCATCTTCTGCTCCAGCTTTCTCAGTCCCAGGAAACATGTCTAGCAAAACCACTGTGAGGAGCCAAAGCAGCAGCCGCCGTGGCTTCAGTGCCAGCTCAGCCAGAGTCCCTGGGCTCAGCCGCTCCGGCTTCAGCAGTGCCTCTGTGTGCCGCTCCAGGGGCAGTGGCGGCATTGGGGCAGCGTGTGGAGGAGCTGGCTTCGGCAGCAGGAGCCTCTATGGCCTGGGAGGTTCCAAGAGGATCTCCATCGTAGGGGGCAGCTGTGCCACTGGTGGAGCATATGGCAGCAGAGTTGGAGGTGGCTTTGGCTTTGGAGGTGGACTCAGCAGTGGATTTGGTTATGGTGGTGGAGCTGGTGGCAGTTTTGGTCTTGGTGGTGGAGCTGGCTTTGGTGGTGGCTATGGAGGCGCTGGCTTCCCCGTATGCCCCCCTGGCGGCATCCAAGAAGTCACCATCAACCAAAGTCTCCTCACTCCTCTGAACCTGGAAATCGACCCCACCATCCAGCGTGTGAGAACTGAGGAGCGGGAGCAGATCAAGACCCTCAACAACAAATTCGCCTCCTTCATCGACAAGGTGAGCTGGGAGGCCTGGCCTCCTCAGGGAATGTAGGGACCCCAGATGGACACATAGCAATCCTCCAACAGGGCAAAGTAGGGCAGAGGGAGGGGACTTCACACTGGCCCTCCATAGAGTAAGGATGGTCCTATGGTGACAAGAGCAGGAGGAGGTGCAATTAAAAGTGCTGAGTTCTCCTTGGAACTTTCGAGTCCATTATAAACCCACAGAGAAAGCAGAGTGACAAGGGCAAGGGCTAGGTCTCCTGCTTGAAGTGAAACACACTTGGATGCCAGTGTATTTGGGCCTGTGCTTCAACCCAAGGTGTGGATTAGAGAAGGCTAAAAAGAACCTGGAAAGAGAAAGATACTCTGGCTAGATTGAGGAAAAAATTAGAGCGAGTGACACAATATGAAAAAATGCTAATTTAATCCTGACACAGAGAATAACTGTAAAAATGGGATATTTTTGAAAGACATGTGCATTAAAGGAAAGATGAATGTCAACCTAATCATTAGGATCATGGATACCCCCAAAACAGAAATTCTATCCCCAATGCAAACTTGTTAAAGATATTGATAAATACTATTTTAAACTAGAATTGTGGTTATGCTTTAAAGAATAAAAAATAAACATTAAAAGCCACTGAATACAATAGGTTAGAGGGAGAGAATTCCTTAGTGGTCCATACTGAAGTGTTCTTGGTGGGTCTGGGTGGTGGAAAAGAGGCCTTGCAGAGGACCAAACTCTCAGCTTGAGGGACTGGGAGTGCTCAGAACCATGCATCAGGGAGAAGCCACAACCCCTGGGAGACCTGCCAACCCATCCCTTCTTCCTTTGTGCTTTTGTCTCATAAATGAATGTCCTCTGTTCCTTTCAGGTGAGGTTCCTGGAACAACAGAACAAGGTCCTGGACACCAAGTGGGCCCTGCTGCAGGAACAGGGCACCAAGACAGTCAGGCAGAACCTGGAGCCCCTCTTTGAGCAGTATATCAGCAACCTCAGGAGGCAGCTGGACTCCATCGTTGGAGAGAGAGGTCGCCTGGACACAGAGCTGAGGAGCATGCAGGACACAGTTGAGGACTACAAGAACAAGTGAGTCAAAAAGGAGGGTGAGCTCTGTTTAGGAGGTTCATGCCTCAAAACAATGGGAAGACAATGTAGATGTGCAGATAACTCTGTAGGAATGTCCAGAAATGTCAAAGGACAAGAGTGATGAGACTTTGGGATGCACAAAAGGAAAATAAGCGATAACAAAGCTATTCTTTAGTGTCTTTGTGGCAGGAGAAATAGATCTGGATATATTCCATTTCTGGAAACATGGGTTCAGAGACAGCCTTTGGGTTGAGCCACACAATGGATACAATATTTTATATCCTTTGTCATAGATATGAAGATGAAATCAACAAGCGCACAGCAGCAGAGAATGAATTTGTGACCTTGAAAAAGGTGAGTGACAAAGTGGGATGCAGTTTTTCCCACTGAACAAGAGACTTGGTTCTGTTTCCCACTCTCATCCAAGAGGAGAGATGCCAGGGTGACGGAGATGGGTGGCCTGCACAGCAGGGTGCAGCTAACTCCTCTGTGTGGCCTCTGTCCCCAGGACGTGGATGCTGCTTACATGAATAAGACTGAGCTGCAAGCTAGAGCTGACAGCCTTATCGATGAGATCAACTTCCTGAGAGTCTTATATGATGCCGTGAGTTCCCTCAGCCCCTTGCCCTGCACTCCGCTGGGGTCTGCACAGGCAGGAAGACCTGGGGTTGGTGCTTCTATGAGGGACATGCACAAAGATGACCTTAGCACCTTCTGTTCTGCAGGAACTGTCTCAGATGCAAACCCACATCTCAGACACTTCTGTGGTCCTGTCCATGGACAACAACCGTAACCTGGACCTGGACAGCATCATTGCTGAGGTCAAAGCCCAATACGAGGAGATTGCCCAGAGGAGCCGGGCTGAGGCTGAGTCCTGGTACCAGACCAAGGTGAGTAGTGGGAGGCAGCTGCTGAGCAGTAGTTGGGCCCAGTGCTCCTGGAGACAGCCGTCTAAAACCAGAAAGCTTCTGATCCACTGGGTTGGGGAGGGCTGAGGAGAGAAAGTAGAGCTTTTCTCACAGCAAGGACACTATATATGGTTATTCATTTGTAGAGTTTATGCCAAATATAGAAAGGAAAAGGACTCAGAGGAAGGTGAAAAGATACCATCTGAAGCACTAGTCATCTTACCTAGCTGCACACCGGATGTTCCTTCTCAGAACATATAACACGGCATTTAGATCTAAGCTAACCATTCAATCTGTGGTCACCTAAACAGGATGATTTGTGACTGGGTTTTGCAATGTCCAATACTCACGCGAAATACATTTTACCAAAAATTTCAAGGTTATTACATATGTGCTTTACACGTGACAGCTCTTCTTTGTGCGTGAAACTCATATTCATTTTCTATCTCTCCACTTGGCCTACAGTATGAGGAGCTGCAAGTCACTGCAGGCAGACATGGGGATGACCTGCGCAACACCAAGCAGGAGATTGCTGAGATCAACCGCATGATCCAGAGGCTGAGATCTGAGATTGACCATGTCAAGAAGCAGGTACACAGAACAGACTCAATTAGAGCTTGTTTCTGCCAATTTGAGGTTCCTGGACTCCTCTTCCTTCAGAATGAAGGCCCAGGTCTGATCCCCTGGAAAGTACCAGACGATAAGTCCATTCTGTTTGCTTCCCCTCCAGTGTGCCAATCTGCAGGCCGCCATTGCTGATGCCGAGCAACGTGGGGAGCTGGCACTCAAAGATGCCAGGAACAAGCTGGAAGGACTGGAGGACGCCCTCCAGAAGGCCAAGCAGGACATGGCCAGGCTGCTGAAGGAGTACCAGGAGCTCATGAATGTCAAACTGGCCTTGGATGTAGAGATTGCCACCTACAGGAAGCTGCTGGAAGGCGAAGAGTGCAGGTGAGTCCCTCGCACACTAGTCTAATTCTCTGGCTCTCCAAGATGGCCTACACTCAACACAGGATCATGACAGGAGTCATTATTGTAATGATTGTTTTTATAACAGAAATGGAAGAGGAGTTCCCCACTAGCTATCCCCAGCTGGAGGCTTCCCTTGGGCTGCATTTAGCAGGTTTCTAGGTCTCATTTCCTGTGTTCTTCTCCCCCTAGGCTGAATGGTGAAGGTGTTGGACAAGTCAACATCTGTAAGTACCTGGCTTCCCTGGCCACCCTGCCTCCCCTGCCCCAGCCCATCCCTGGCTCATTCAAATAGAATTTGCTCACTCACTGTTTTCTGTGTCCTTGTCCCCTCTCCACAGCTGTGGTGCAGTCCACCGTCTCCAGCGGCTATGGCAGTGGCAGCAACATGGGCAGTGGCATGGGCCTGGGAGGAGGCAGCGGCTACTCCTACAGCTCTGGCCACAACCTTGGAGGTGGTTTCAGTTCTGGCAGTGGCAGAGGCATCAGCCTTGGGGGCGGCCTCAGCTCTGTTGGGGGCAGCTCGTCCTCCATCAAGTACACCAGCTCCTCCTCCAGCAGGAAGAGCTACAAGCACTGAAGCCCTCTCAGCACCAGGCAGGTGCTTGGTCCCTCTGGCTACAGGGCTTCTTCTCAGGCCTTCGTCCTCTCCTGTCCTCCGTTCTTGAGTTACAGCTGAGCATGGGCATGTCCCTCATTTTACTACTGGATCCCTTCCTTGTTAGTTGCTGACCTTCAGAATCTCAACTTGTGGTGCAACATCCTGATTTACTCACATTTGTTTCTGCACTGTATCGCTCAGTTATCAAGGTCTTGCCTGTATTCCACTGTCACTGATGTTGCACACTGTGGAGAATTATCTACAACACTGCCACCACCAAATTCCTTGTTTGGGACTTACCTCAGAACAGGGCAGATACCCTTTCATCTCAGTCAACCTACACATGGGGTGAGACTCTTGTAGCAACCGTGGTAGCCCAGGACTTTCAGTGTACAGACCTATACCCTTGTGAAGTCTTCATTGCTCCTTGCTTTCTTATGACTCCTAAATAAAGCACATTTATAATACAATGCATTGCTCCTTGTTGTGTTATTTGATCCCAACTGTTCATTGCTTTTTGTGTATTAAAGTTCTATCTTCCTTAGTAATTGGTTGTAGTTTGCTACATCAATGTTCAGCTTCCTTCTCAGGTCAAATTCCAATGAAATGTTTAGCAAGTGTGGAGAAATCTTGTCGACTGTCATTGCCTACTTTGCTTTAAGTGTCTGTACAATGAACTATCAGGAGAGAACACATTCCTGGCCCATTAATGCAATGGAATAAGATGAAGTCTATTTGACAAACAAATAAGATATTTGGTATATAGTTACAGAAACCTCCGCAGAGGGTGTGAGTCTCCCACCCAACATTATGGCACTCAGGTGCAAAAGAAAGACACAGAGAAAAAGTTGTGTGTGGGGAGAGCTCTGAGATGATCCAGTACTCTCTGTGGAACAAAGAGCATGCCTCCAAAAGCTCATGGCTTATATTGTTATCAATCAGGGAGGTCACTTGGGGTTGCACCTGAGTGCTAAGGAAGAGAAACTTTGCAAACATTAGCTGTAAAGAGAATCAGAGCACTTTCCTCCAGGCACAGCAGCCCTGCAATCAACAGTGCAAAAGACAGCTTGATGGCTGCAGAGCTGGCACTGGTAAGGTACGGCCCAGAAGGTATAATTGTTCCTAAGTTTCATGGCCTCATCTGAGATGCTGTCTCATGTCTTAGTCCTGGATTTCACAGACCATTATTCAAGTCCCCATTCCAGGTGTAAACAAGGGTTGTAGGGAAGCCGTCCTCACCTGCATTGTTCAATGACACACTCTGGTGTCTCGGCCAGGGTCAATCACAGGTTTTTGCCAGTTAAGGGAACATCTGCTTCTATATAGCCAACTCGCATATCTCAGTGATTAGGATTGAAGTAAATTTGGGTAAAGATTCAGGCAAGTGGCTTGGTTTCTCAGGAGAGTGCAGCTTGGCTCTCTCCCACAGTCAGTAGGATAACCTTCATTACTATAAAACTTGCCTGACAGAAGGTATCAAAAACAAGTACAGTATGCATGCTTGTGAGTTCCAATTGTCATTGTGGAACTGCATTGTAATGTTCTATGTCTAGGTGTCCCCCCAAAGCCTCATGTAGTCATTGAGGCAGGCTTCTAGACTTTGTGATTAATTCATGATCCAAGGCTGGGATTATGGGTGTGAGTGCTGCTGGGCTATGGATGTGAGTGCTACACCCAGCCTGGGGCAGATAGCCCGAAGGCGACACAGGGAGGGAGAGAGGCTTGCTCTCTGCCTCTGCTACTGCCACAGCTGCTGCTCCTCCCTTGGCTCTTTGCTGCTTACCACCACCATGAATGGCTGTCCTCTCCCATGTGCCACTCTGCCTCAGAGCCAGCCAAGTACAGACTGAAACTTCCACTGGTTTCGGTGGAGGAAACCTCCACTTTATTTAAACTGTGAGTTAAATAAACTTTTCCTTCCTTAATTTTGAGTGTCAAGTATTTTGACCCAGCAATGAGAGAAGAGTAACCGAGACCTGTATCCTGAGCAAATGGTGATGCAAGTGAAAAAAAAAAAAAATGGACCTACATGAATACACATTATGACAGTCTTCACAAACAGGAAATCTGGAGCCCTTCCACCTGGCCAAATTAAGAACAAAAACACTGGAGTGCAAACACAAATTCTTGTTTGTTGGTGTGTGAATAAATAGAAGAGGCACATTCCTGCTTCTCACACTTTTTCATCTCACTGACAATTGGGGAAGCTGAGTTCATGGTATTCAGAAAGGCAGTTTCATTCCTCTCTCCATAGTATAAACTACTGGGTTTAACTTCTGGGAATGAGGGAGGGAAAATTCAGTAAGGTTCAAGCTTGGTCAGCTGATTTGTAGTCTTCCAGAGCTACGGCAACCCTCAGTGTCCCATCAGTGATGATTATCTTCCTACCACTCAAGTTCTGGCATCACGAGGCATATTTTCTTGTATTCTGTTGGTTTTCCTGGAACCATCTGCGCCATCACCTGCTGTGCTCTGATGTCACTACTCTTTCTGCAACATATCTAGCTTTTCTTTAAGTGCCAATTCATTTCCTGCCCAGCAGTTCCCTGACAGTAGAAGGTTGAAGATTGGCTTCCAAAGTCCAAGCCCACTTACCTGCACCCACAGAAATAATGGAAAAGAAAATTATTGACAGGGAGGGTTTTCTTTGTACATTATAAACACAAGAAAGGACTATTCATATAGAGAAATAAAAGTAAAATTATATGGTGCATGTATTTTTAAAACACAATAAATTACAACAGATAACTTGCTGTAAAGGTTGATTACCTTCATTCAACAGAACAAACATTAGAAGATGATAAAGACCAAATTTTACAAAATGATAAATAAATCATCAGAATGGCCACAGAGTTGTTAAATAAATTGCTCATTAATGAAAAAAAAAACAAATAAAAGGACGGGACTATATTTTTACTGGTTTCCATGACTCATGCAGCCAGCTGGGCCCTGGGAGGGGGTCATGGGAGAGTAAGAAAAAACAAGACACATAATAAAGGCAGAGCTGGGGCCCACTGGAACATGCCCTCTCTGATGGAAAGGCAACCAGCACAGTCTGTGTCTTAGCTTATACACAGTATAAAGGCTGGTAGCATGCAACAGGACTCAAAACAAAACATTCTCAGAGCTGTCTGTGCTGTAGTTAGCAGGGAGGAGATACCTGTTCATATGCTACTGAACTAGAGGTCAACTTGCTTATATGGTCTGTCTCTGGTGTTTCATGTTTGTGGGACACACTTTGTTCTTACCTCTAGGAGTTCGTCGCCTTTCCACTCAGCTGCTCCCCACAACTGGTTGAGTTGCCTGACATTTAAAAAAATTAAATGAGATCCAGTCCTAGCCCAGGCCCAGTGAGTGTGTGGGAGAGCTTCCAGCAACCATGCACTGGCGGGACCTGCGATTCCAGCCCAGGTGCAGAGTGGCTGAGACCCTCTCTCACCCGCTTGGGACGCCACCCACCACTCCATAGCATCCCCCCCACCCCAACCACCAAGTAGGAATTATTGCCACACTCCGGGAACTCCCAGATCCAGTCCTAGCTCAGGCTCAGTGAGTGTGTGGGAGAGCTGCCACTCACACATACTCCACCTTGTCCCCTCCAGACTCAGCTCAGACCTGGCATACAGGGCTGGGGCGAAACCCTGCAGATGCATTCCCTGCAGAGAGAGTAGGGGACAGAACAACCCAGCTAGTCCAGGAGCAGAACATCTTGCCAGAGAGGCATAGCAGGTTCACACCCAACAGTGGCTGCAGCAAGGATCTGAGCACAGCAGCCAGATACAAGCCAGGCACAGCTGGATAAATCCAAACCTTGTAAATCTGCACTTGAACTTCAGTAGGTGCTAAAGTTATAACTGCAACAAAGATCTACAACAAAGGTCAGAAGACAGTGCTACACAAAATGCCAATGAGAAGGAACAAAATGCAATATCAGAACCCAAGCCCACCCTTAACAAGTGCAGGGGACACTAGCACAGAACAAACTGGGAATCACACAGCTGAAAGCAGTGAATCAATGGTTTCAGAAATAAAGAAACAGTTCCAGAAAGGTATAGAGGAACTTAGATTTGAAATGAAAAAAGAAATCCCTGAATTAATAACATCTGCAGTAAAGAATCAAATGCAGAAACATATGAAGGAAACCAAATGCCTACCCAGAACAAGTGCAGAGAACACTAGCTCAGCTAAAATGTATGAATTAATAGTGTCAATAGTAAATAAGCAAGAGCAGAAAGTCATAGAGAAACTCAGAGTGGAATTC